CAGACCCTCAGACTCACATCCTGCTGGGGTACAAAGATGGAAACCCTCACTTTGTCCCTTCTGTTAAACAGGCTTTTTTACTTTGAGCAAAAAAAAATCTCTCAAGCCTAAGTTTTCTTGCTCATTAAAGTGGCAGGAAGCTAGCCTGGACATGGCAGCACACGCCTGTAATCCTAGCACTCTGGCAGGCGGAGGCAGGTGCATCACAAATCTGAGCCCAGCCAGAACAACTTAGCAACTCCATCTCAGAAAATTGAAGGACCTAGAGATTTATTCATTCCAAATTTTTAAAGGCCAGATTCTTGGGGAGGAGGGGGAGTTCTGCATGACTAGCTAAGGAGTCATCTGGAGTATCCGGAGCGGGTTGTACAGGCCTGCCCTAGCTCTCAGTACCCCATGGGAGCGCAGAGCTAGAGAGCTCCAGGAAGGAGAGTTCAGACGCTTGTGTGAAAGCTTTCAGCAGCATGTGTGAAGCACTTCGCATAGGCCAAGCTAAGTGTCCTAGGCACAGGGATGGAGTCAGGGGATGCAGTGGATGAAATAGCAAGAGTGCCCTGTCTTCATGAATGTACATTAATTTTTAAGTATTTGGCTGAACGTAAAGGCCAAGTAACACATGAAGGCTCTGGTGCTTCCATAATCCCAAATAGGATGTATTCAATCTGACGTTTTAAAGCCGAAGTACTTAGGTGGGGGAAGGAGGAATTCATTCATCTTAAGCAGACCTACTTAGGGTCTGTGCCTTCAGGTATGTTTTATTATGTTTCTGAGAGCAGGGTTGCGTAGAGACAGTAAGAGCTCATGACGCATCTCCAGTAGCCTGAGAATGATAGTGCCTGCTCAGACATTGGGTTTTGCAGCTTTGACTCTTTGGATTGGGTTGTTGAAGCACAAGACAAGCAAAAAGAAGACAAAACTGAAACTAAGAATTTGATCACAAGAAATTGATGCTGAGAGAATACATGGGAACCAGAAAGTCCCTGGAGGACAAAGCAGACATACTTGGGAAAGCTGATGAAGCAACAGAAGTCCTTTCTGCATGTGGATGAAGGATGCAGACTTGCAGAAGTTATTTCAGAAAAGTTAGCTTTGTTCATCTGCATTAAAAAGTGTTTCACTGTCAGCAAGCCTAGGATAAGGAAAAGTTGGATGCTACTAAATGTGCTTAAGTGTGTGAGAGTGTCACTTAGCTTGCAGTTGCTGACAGACTTGAGAGCAAAAGGGTTGCTGGCTCATTTGATTATTTTCTTGACCAAAAACCCATGAGAATATATACTGAAAGAAGAAAGCTGTCATTACCATTTAATGTTGTTCCTTTAAGCCTTGTGTTAATATTATAAAATCAGATTTCAGAGAATATCATAATTAAAAATTTCATTAAAAGGAACACTTAATACTATTTCAATATATAATGACTCCCAGTGCTATCCGAATTCATTCACATCGTAAACCAGCTAAAGTGAGCTTTAATCCTTACCAATAACATGCAGTGCTGTTAACCTGGTTAATCATCTGCCGTATTCACCAGACTGGGCTGTGACTAGTTGGCAGCTATCTTTGGAAAGATGATTATTTGCTAACATGAGGTTTACACTGTATTAAAGGCATGAATTGCTACTCTGAAAGAGGTGTCCCAGAAAGAGTTTAAGCATTGGACCTCTTTCAGAATAGCTAGTTTTTTACAACTAGTCTTTCGGAATAACTCATCTTCCCTTCCACTTTAAAGGGAATAGGGCTTCAGGCTGATAAATTGTTAATCACATGTAAGATTTATCACATTACTTAGTAGCTACAAGGTATGTTGAGTTTTGACTGGAATAGCTCACTGGGCAAATAAGTTGATTTTTTAAATAGAAAAATAGCCCTTTGGGGAAGGGAATGACTATAACTCCTGGCTTACCTGCAGCTGCTCCCATTCAGTGACACAATAGAAGTCATAGAGTGCTAACAGCATGTCAGAATTTTTGCAAATGATTTCTTTATGCTATATAAGGTGTGTGTTATCCCCATTTTACAGATGAGGAAACTGGATTTCAGCGCTAGGTGGATTCCCAAGTTAGCTCCTAATAACAGTGGTGGGAAACTTGGTCATTTTTTAAAAATTACTTTTCATAGTTTTAGGGATCAAATCCAGGTCTTCAAGCATACTAGCAAGTGCTGTAACACTGAGCTCCATCCCAGCTTGGAAGCTTACGATTATCATTGACATTGGCCTACAGAATACTGGTAACTCCTCACACCCCAGCATACACCTTTCATCATTACACAAATTCACGAACTTTTTCAACAGTATGGAGGCTTCCTTCCCGCCCCGGAGAAATTCTTGACACCTACTTTCTTGCTAGGAATGTCCTAGAAAAGTGTGGGCACTCCCTGCACTGGCAGGAAAAAAAGAAGGGACAGAATAGGAGCCGCTGTCATGTTAATTTCTAGGAAAGGGGCTCACCCACCAATCATCTCTTTCTCACAGCTGCCTTGGCCCACAGTGTAGAGCTGTGCTAGGCAAAACAGCTTCAAAGCTGTCTAACCAGTCCATAGGACTGTTAATGGAGGCCTTAGAGATAAGGAATGGGCAGTCCCTGGAAAGTGGAAAAGGCAGAAAGGATTCTCTAGAATTCCCAGAAGTAACTGCCAATATGCTGAGATCCATTTTGGACTTCTGGCCTGAAGAGCTGTAAGACAAATGTATTTAGGCAACAAAATATGCTAACCTTGTTTGCTCTGAGAGAGCTAGCCGACCTGCCAACACCAGAGCTCCTGGGCTGACAGAGTCACCATATACCCGGGAGGCACGTGGCGCTCAGTCCCAGGGCTGCTGCAGAGATGAGCTGAAAGAGGCCTTGAAGGGGACATGGCTGGCCATTCACCCACAGTGAGTGAGTAGCAGGCTGAGCTCCAGGCTCCCTTTGCTCTTTAGGAGCTCTGGTCTTCACTAGGACACTTAACCTGTCGGAAACTTGGGGCATGTGGAAGCCATGACAGCTCTGTGTGCTCTGCCTGCCACATGGCGTGTGGACACAAGACCATGGCAGAAGGCTGTGTAGTTACTGTGCTGCAGCTCTCCATGGTAAATAATGGAACTGGTGCCTTCATATGTTGTTTAGGGTACAAGCATATGTCTGTAACTTCCATCATTTTCTTCTGAACCTGCTGTTCACAAGAAAATTCAGGTCAGCCAAGCAGTTGACTTGCTAAATGCTGACTGATGTTTTAATATAGTTCCTGTAATTCTGGCATATGAGAGTTAAGTGATGGCTTCATCCATTTTCCAGGCAAAGACTTACGCTCAGGTTGTGTAGAAGTAAGGTGAGGCCTTTAGAAATTGATCTGGACAAGTCCATGGCAGAAAAACCAAGATTTTAAAAATAACATAAACATTGTATTTATGGATTCTTTCTGGGATTTTAGGGACAGACAACTATGTAAAGTGGAACTTGGGCCAGAATGTGAAACCAGACAGTTGTTGAGCCTCAAAGGGTGCCAACTTTTCCAGAGCCTTCAAGGATGAATTTAGGGACCTTAAAGGGTCCCAGCTGGTGCACGTTTGATTCTTACTCTGATTTTCCCTCACAGTGAGCACGTACTTTACTTCACAGCAGGACGAGTTGGAGTTCAGGGCACAGTGTGTGTCCTGGCACCAGCCGTTCACCTCGTTCCTGTGTGCACCTCTGCCACAGGCCATGCCAGGGGCACCGTGAGCTATCAGCAGTGCTGATGCCGCACACGTGGCATGCTGCCCCCTGTTGGCAGCAACAGCTTCCTGCGCGCTGCCCGTCACAGCCGCCTCCTGAATCCCCTCTGCATGCACAGCCCTTAGCTGAGGACACCAAGCTGGATGGACTCAGGTGACCTGCCACTCCCAGTGTCTCCTGAGAGTGAATGAATCCAGGGATTTATTTTCCTCATCTGTTAAAGGAAGGAGCTGGAGTGGACAAGAGCTCCATTTCTTTCCAGGTTTTCTGGAAATGGAGATAACATCCATCCTTGTGTTGGAGGTTCTGCTCAAGGGATCTGAGTGGAGAGGCAAGGGATTTGTTTGTAAGTAATGTTACTTTTTATTAGAGTGGTAATTCATTTACTAATGAACGTAATTACGATGTAGAAGCATAAAAAGAGAGCAAACCCTCTCCCTTAGCTGCCACAGCCAGCACCCAGGCAGCCGGGCCTTGAAACTGTCCACCACCCTGGGGCAGCCCCAGCCTCCTGCTCGCACTCTCCAGGGGAGCCTGCGAGCTTCTGAACCTGAACCTTTTGTTTCCTTTCAGTGCTTCTGACAAGTGGTGAAGTAGAAGACTCATTTATAGAAGTTGGTTTTGGTCCCAACAGATCCAAATTCAGATCTTACAGCCTACATTATGAATCTACATGAAGTTAAATTCCAATACTTGAGAGAGAACTTTTACTGTAGAGTAATATGAAAGCTGCAGAAAGCAGAAGTGGCAGGACTTTATGGGATCTTTTTCCTTGTTGCTACCTTGAGTTTCTGGATGTTCCAGACAAAATACCTGACACCCAGTTTAAAGGAGGGGAGTTTGTGGGCTCAGAAATTTGTGTCCATGGTCAGCAAGCTCAAACACAGAAACTGCTTGGTGGAAGGGCCTGGGGGAAGGAAGGATGCTTACATCAGGGCAGACAAGCCAAGGTCAAAGGAGCCAGGGGGAAGAGGTGCACTTCTGGCCACACTCCCAGGGCCCGCCTCTTCCAACCGCATCCTACCTTCTAATAACACACTAGGAAACTAGCTTCTAGGACTGCATCAGAGTTTAGGGGTCATTCTTGGCCATAACCTAGAGCTGGCCAAATAGCTCAGCGGATTAAGGCTCCTGCAAGCAGGCGTAGGGACCAGGGGTTCAATCCCCGGCCCTGCTGTGCTGGCCCCGCCCCCAGGGCACTCTGAAAGGGCAAGAGACAGTGTGATGGGGTGCACCTGTAATCCCAGCTCCTGGGAAGCTATAAACAGGCGGATCACTACAAGTCCTACCTAGTAGTGAGACCCTGAACACCCTGTAGACCCTTCCCTAAAACAAAAACAAAAAGAAAAACCATAACCTAGATGAAGCATTACATTTGTATGGCTCAAATAATTAAAAGTATTACGCACATTTTGACAAATCTATGTTATAAGAGTTCACTGGATGCAAACCAAACACCCTAATAAATGACACTTATAAAATTTTTATTGGCCAAAGAGCTTTAACAGAGTATTGCTTTCTTTTAGGCGTTTTTGTTTTGTTTTGTTTTGTTTTTTCTACTAGGTATTATAGTCAAGAAAGACCAATGAACTACATTACAGGAAAACCAACTTGTAAAAGTCTTGACAGTGGAGTCAATGCCTCAAATACTGATTGAGCAGCTTTTAGTTTCAAGGCACTGTGGGAGGAGGATGAGGAAGCTACTCTCAAACACTCAGGCCCTGGCAGGATTGAGTAAAACTAGAACCCACAGCCATCTGCTAGATAGGCTCTTCTAAGAGTTGTAAGACACAAAGTAAGGAAATCGGAGGAAGGAGCAGTCGAGGAAGGCATCATGCAGCCTTACAAAATGGGTGGGTTTTGTGTGTGTGTTTTGATGTTGAGGATCAAACCCAGGGCCTGAGACAAGGCAAGTTCTCTACCATTAAGCAGCATCTCAATCTATGGGATTTTTCATACTCAAGCAATTGAAGGGCTTTTGCAGGGGATACAAACCAAAGTATAGAATTGCCAAGGCTAGGGTGTCAGGAAGAAGTCCAATTTGGCTAGAATGTCCAGAAGATGTAGGGGGAGGGGTACACACAACTCTGGTGTGCAGCAATGGAGGCTCAAATGTAAGGCCACAGAGTCAAAGCTTTTTAAGTGACATCAAAGGCTTTGGAGGAGGAAAAATATTTCACCAACACTAACTTAGGACAGTTCTTTGGCATTGGCCAAGTTGTTAGGTAGAGGTGGTGCAGAAGGACAGGAATATGAGACCCACATGGATGCTAAGTGTTCCCTGTGTCATGGCCATAGGTGGGCTTACAATTTTGTGCTAGTGGGCTTAGTGGAGGGCCTGGGATCCAGTGAAACTGGAGTGCAGATCACTGATTTGTTATCTGCTTGTTTCTTCTTTGTGAAAACTGTTATGGCTTATGCCTTGTACTCTGAGCAACTAAAAATGATGATACATGGTGTAATAACTTACTCTATTATAAAATTTGATTTTTGCATAAAATAAAAAATCACTTTCTTACCAGTTGTGTGATTGTGAGGCTATTAACTTCTGGGTCTTCCCCATCTACCAAATGGGAGTTATGTCATGGATTTGCCATATGACAGGAAGTTACTCATCTGAAATATTTAGCATAGTTGTGACTGTTAGTACTAAATGCTCAGTAAGAGTTAATAATGTCCCTAGTTCCAGCTAATTCTACTAAACTGGGAACGCAGTTAGGAGACAAATAGGTGTCCACTAAGGTGACAGGCACATGGAGCTCTTGGGAAGCACTTCAGTAGCTGGAAGCCTGGCTTCAGAGGCTGGCACACTGGCTTTGGATCCCCTCTCTGCTGTGTACCAGCTGCCATTTGTTCAAGCTGCGGAACAGGTACTAGCAATTATTCCCCAGGGAGCCGCTAAGAGAACAAAGGGAGGGGATGCGAGTGTGGGGCTTGGACCTGAACTAACAGCGCTTAGAACATAGTGGCTATCAGTGAAGGGTAGGATGCTGAGAAGAACAGCTTTGCCCCTCCCATTGGCAGGGGCAGAATGTGCAGGCAGGGGCAGAATGTGCAGGGGGGGGGGTGGAGCCTGGGCCTGTGGGTCAGCCCCTGGGGAAAGCACTGGAAGATAGGGGAGGGTTCACTGGAGCACATAACTATAGCTCTATAACTGGCCCTGAAAAACAAAAAACTTCATAATACGTGGGTGCTTCACAAAGTTTTGGGGCAGAAGAGATGGGTTTCAATCTACAGTAATATGTGTATGAACCTTGACTGGACCTGATGAACAGTCATTGTTGAAACAATGACTCTGATTAAGGACTTCATATTAGAGGCCATAAGGAAGTTGATTATATTCTTAAGTATGATCATCATACTGTAACCATGATGACAATGTCTCTAAGGAGATACAAGCTGAAATACTTATGGGTTGGAAAGAATGTAAATAAGACAAAATATGAACTCTGCCAGTCTGGGTGGAGGGGATGCCCATGAGCATTCATTATTCTGTTCATTTGAACAGATTTGTTCAGTGGCCTTTCTACTCTTGCTGGATGCTTGGGAGTCAAAAAACGGGAGAACTAAAGCAGCCTGAGGAAAACTGAGAGAACTGGTTTACACCGGAAAAGGAGTTCTTTGGGAGGAAGCCATGTAACACCTACCAAAGGCTTTCCAAGGAGGAAGACACTAAGCGTGACAAACGTGGCTTTTGGCGAGTGGCGACCTGGGAAGACCTGAGTAAGCCCTGAAAAGCTGACCTGTAGATGAGCCTAGCAGAGCAAGTGCGGGCAGCTGGCGCTGCTTGGCCCAGCACTCCCAGAGCTCGGTTTTCATGCGGGAGACTAAACTGTGGGAAAGCGGCCGTGTGTGGTGGGGCAAACGCCGAAGAGGGCAGTGGCTTTGGACACAAAGGGTGCTTCCGCCCTGGGCCAGAACAGGAAAGCAGCGCTGTGGGGACAAGGGATATGGTCATGTCTTGCTGTCTGGAGGTAAAAATACAAGGCCAGAAAGGGGCAAGTGGCGACACGTGCTGTGGGGCTGTGACTGGGAGAAGACAGCCGAGGTGCACGGTGCGAGGCCCGGGAGCCAGTGCTTGGAGATGCCTCAGTGAGGTTCTGGAGACAGTGAGGGCGAGGGCGGAGAGCAGCCGCAGAAACTACAGTCTCCTCAGCAGAACTCTGCACTAGGCCAAAATCATCAAGAGTAGATGACACTGCGTTTCCATGCCCTCCCTGGGTTGGCACGGCGCACAGGCACATAACGTGAAGTCCGCCGTGTGCAGCAGCTCCAGGCCTTAGTCAGCAACCTCAAGTGGCCTGGCACCAAGGCTGCTGGGGCTCTCCAGTCCCCTTCTGTGAGGCTCTGTTCCTCGTACACAAGCGTGCCCGCCCAAGGCGCAGGAAGTCCAAGGCACCAGCAGGAAGCAGGGCAGGTCTTGGGGGGAGGCCCCGCATTTGCTACTCTACCATCTGCGGCTGTAACGGCCGAGCCCTACAGCAGGACCTCCGTGGCCTCGCATCCTTCCCGGAGTCTGGTCTCGGGGTCCTCTTTCGGGACAGCGGCCGGGGGCGGCGCTGCAGGCCAGCCCAGCTCCCGTAGCCTCGCCTGCAGGGCCTCCCGCTCAGCCAGCAGCCGGCGCTCCAGCGCCCGCAGCGCCCTTCGCCCCCGCTCCAGGGCACGCTCACCCCGCGCCACGGCGGCCTCCCTCCGCGCAAGCTCATGCTCGCGCCGCCGGCCCTGCTCAGCCAGAGCGCCCATCTGCTCCCGCAGCCGCGCCCACTCTCGCTCGGGAGCCGAGGCAGGGCCGGGCATACTGCCGCTCCCCAGCCCTCGTCGGGTACCGCCACCCTCCAACTCCTGCCGGTGCACGCTCTTCAGGTGTCGCCACAGCACCGAGGTCCCCGCCTGCAAGCCGGGGCCGCGGCCCACCTGCTGTCCGCACAGCCGACAGGTGGCCCAGCGGCCAGCCGGGTGCCCGGGGCGCGCAGGTGCCAGGTGGAAGTACCCCCACGCCTCAGCGTAGGGCGCCCCCAGGCGACCGGGGCACACGCCGTCCTGCGCCGTAGCCTCGTCCGGCCTGCTGCTCTCCTCCATGGCCAGTGCAGGCTCTCCACTCGGCATGGCCTCCACAAAGTCTGCAGCCAGAGAGCAAGAGGAGGAAGAATTACTATAGGCACACAGTGATGGCCGTGATCTCCACGAAGCTTGGCCTCCTCTCCTACACGTGAAAATTCTACAGATCCCCGGGTTTCTTCCTCCTCACAGTACTAAGCATGCAGATGCTGGATGGTGCGATTACAATTGTCTAGACCTCATGCTAGGTCTCTCCGCGACCAAGAGTCTCCATGTAACATTTACACTACTGGTTGGAAGCGAAACTTCTTGAACACAAAGAACCAGTTTAAGTATATGTTGTGGACACGAACTAATCTGTTATAACTAGTGTTCACGTCCTTAAAAAGTTTTTTCTCTTTAGAACAAGGGACATTCTTCTCTGGGTGTCGCACAGCAAACTTAAGAAAGGAGCAGAAAATAAAACTTATTTTGTTTCTCTAGGGGTAGAAGTGAAGCTTGTTTAAATGGCTTTCATGAACCAACACATGATCCCAAGGCATAGACAAGCTGGCTGGGGACGAGCCCTGCCAAGTGGGAACATGGACTGTCTCTCGGAGCATGCAGAGAACCCACCTCTGTGAGCTCGCCAGTGCCTGTTCAGGCTGCCAGCTTCTGAATCAGTGGCAGGGAGGAAATGAAGGTCCAGATGCTCTTGGAAGGACTAGAGGCAAAGCTGTGAACAAGAAAAATAAGTCATGATAACAACAGCATCTAGTGGAGGCTTTTAATTCAGTTGCTAATAGTATTGTTACAGAGGCACTATGATTTTCTAAACCTAATTTATTCTTTTTCCAACCAAGCAAGTCTATTCAGGATTAGGTGTGTCATTTAACAGATCTCTTGCATTAAAAAAAAAAAAAAAGATAAGAATCCAGTAGAACAGCGATAGCCAGCACACACCTGCATGTCCATGAGACTGAACCACAAGTGTGTAACTGTATGGTGAAGTGCTAGTGGTGGTGTGGGTGTGAGGCTTGAATACTGACACTGGAGAATAACTAGCCGGTGAGGCACTCCCACTTCAGGGACAGGGGTGAAAGAGACAGAGCTCCACTAAGCTCTGGAAGTGCAGAATCCAGCACCTTGCAAACATGGGCTGAGCAGCCAGGAGATCTGGGGTGAGCCCAGCAAGTTGGCACTGAACAAGAGGCACCCCGGATTTCCCAGGCAGCCAGGGCGGAACTGGGAATTGCCTTATGAAAGCCCTATCATCTGAGTGTACTGCTGGGGAATCAGAAGCCCGGCGCTTCCCACCCACCCCCCCCAAGACCTAAGCACAGAGAGCTATGTGTTGCTGTAGGGTAGTCTGAGATGTTCCACTTCAATTTAAATCTGATGGTGCAACTCTGTGAAGAGGAACAAGACCAGGTGCATGAGGGGGTTCTCCCAGATCTGCCCCTCCCACAGTGCCTGAGGTTCCCCCAAGTATAGATGGTGCAGGCTTGCTTCCTTTGTCCACTGTGAGGCACTCCAGGGGGTACAACACCATGGCTTGGGCCTATGCCACACGTTGGGTACACTGACCCAACTGGGCCTCAGGCATGACCACAGGGAAGGGCTCACAGGGTGGCTCCCATAGTCACTGTGTCCTCTGGTACACACACAGAAAGCTCTGGAGTGAACAAGGCTGTGCTGTGACCTGCCTCCACTCTGCCCTCTTCTCTACGCTGGCCTGTTTGACAGGATCAAGAAGCAACACAAGTAACTGCAACTAGGACAGACTCCCCCCCACCCCACCTCTTGCTGGCCAATTCTGGGGTTAGAAACAGAGTTTTCTTTCCTTTTCTTTGTCTTCTTCCTCCTCCTCCTCCTC